TGGCCTGCTGTGTTCATCCAGCTCTACACCTCGTTATCCCAGGATATACCTCATCAGGGCCTGGGGATTTATGCAATTTTAAGCCCAATATAACTTCCAACACCCTCCCTCTCAGTGTTAATTTGTTCAAAGATGTCACAGTTGTCATCCCTGATTTCTATACATGGATCATCTTTTCTCTACAGTGAATACCATGCCAAATATTCATTCAAAACCTCACCATTCATCTGAATATCTCCACATTCAGATTGCCACTTTGGTCCCTAATGAGCCCTTTTTTTTCCCTCTGGTTATCTTCATGCCCCTAACTCACTTATAAAATGCCTTTGGATTTTTCTCTATTTTACCCACAAGTGTTTTCCCATGTCCCTTTTCACTCTGATTTCATTTTAAAGTAACCCACTGCATCTTCTAAACTCCTCGCGGGCTTTTGCTGCTTTTAACCTTCAGTATATGCCATAGGCTTCCTTTTTATCTTTATCTAATCCTGTACATTCCTTGATGTAGGATGGCCTAGTGGTATTATCGCTAGACTGTTAATCCAATGACCCAGATAACATTCTGAGGACCTGGGGTCGAATCCCACCACAGCAGATGGTGGAATTTGAATTCAATAAAATATCTGGAATTAAGAATCCAATGATGACCGTAAATCCATTGTCAATTGTCAGAAAAACCCATCTGGTTCACTAATGTCCTTTAGGGTTGGAAACTGCCATCCTTACCTGGTCTGGCCTACACGTGACTCCAGACCCACTGAAATGTGGTTGACTCTCAACTGCCCTCTGGGCAATTAGGGATGGGCAATAAATGCTGCCTGGCCAGTGACTGCCTCATCCTGTGAATGAATAAAAAAAATCCAATGTTCCCTAGACTTATTGGAACCACCCTTCCCCTTTGCAGGAACATGTTGGTCTTGCACTTTGCACAATCAATCAAGTAAATCTAGTTTTGTAACTTCTGCAGTGCCTTGATACTTTTGTTGTAAACGGATACTGGTTCTGTGCGCTATATCCATATATGGACCAAACAGTTGTAGAGTCATAGAGCTGTACAGCACTGAAACAGACCCTTCGGTCCAACTCATCCATGCCCACCAGATATCCTAATTTAATCTAGTCCCATTTGCCAGCATTTGGCCCATATCCCTCTAAACCCATCCTATTCATATAACCATCCAGATGATTTTCCAAAGATCTAAATATGTGAATCCTTCTCCCCTGCCCCAGCTCCTCAGCTACACATTCATCTGCTCTATCCTCCTATTCCTACCCTCACTCGCTCATGGCACAGGGAGTAATCCAGGTATTACTACTCTTGAAGACCTCCTTTTCAAATTCCCGCCCAACTTCCTATATTCTCTCCTCGGAATCTCGTTCTTTTCTCGTCCTAAGTTTTAGTTCCAATGTGTACAATGACCTCCTGCTGGTTCCTCTTCCCTTTGCGAATATTCTGCACCCTCTCCGAGATATCCTTGATCCTGGCACCAGGGAGGCAATACATCATTCTGATGTCTTGTGTCAGCCACAAAAATGTCTGTCTGTGTCCCTAACTAGAGAGTCCCCTATCACAATCGATCACTTGGAACCTGGCATACTCCTCATTACATTAGAGCCAGTCTTGGTGCGAGAAACCTGGCTCCCCTGAGAGTCCAACACCCCCTACATTTTCCAAAACAGCATACTTGTTTGAGATGGGGGTAGCTACAGGAGACTCCTGCACTACCTGCCTCCCTCTCCTACCTTTCCTGGAGGCACCCATCTACCTGTGTCTTTGGTTTCTCCATCCATCACACCCCCTAGCTCCTATAAATTCCACATTGCTCTAACTGCCATTCCAACAGGATTCGCAACCAAACATATTTCCTGCAGACATAATCATCAGCAACATAGAAAATTCTGCTCAATCTCCCACAACCGACAAGAATAGCACATCATTCTATCAAAGCCCAACTTTTTACCTTAACAATCTACAGTCCCAGACAACAGCAGTCTTACTGCTCTAAAAATGCTGCTCTAGGATACTTAATATCTATCTTTTATATTTAAAAAAAAATTAAGTGACAGATCTCAGTAAAACATTTTTAAAAATACCCTCACCTTACTCCCTAGTACAGATTTACAGCTGATAAGTTAGGAACTGTCAATAGGACAAAGTCACTCATTGTCTGTGAGAAATTTTAGAATGAGGCGAGGATTGAAAGTTACTGCAGAAACAAATTCCTTCCTGAGGTGAAAACTCATTTTATTTCCCTCTTATACAGCAAAGTCTGAGAAACAATGTTCAATGTCATCTCAAACCCAGAATAACCTTGTTAATGTTTCTTCAATTGATAACAAACCAAAACTTGACCTGATAGTTTTATACCTCAGTCAAAGCTCAGAAGGTCATGGATTTAGATGTCGCTATGTCACCTGAGCAGAATATACAGGCTCATTACGTCTGGGACCACCCAAATGTCAGAGGGTCAGTGCTGAGGGAGTGCTGCACTGTTAAAAGTGCCATCGCTAAGTGGATGTAAAAATCTCGTGGCAATATTTTAAGAACACAAAAAAAAAAATCACCCCAGTGTGATGAGATGAATTGTATCGGGATCTGAAGGTGGTTGCACTGGGATATCACCGAGTACCGATATCAATCAGTATTCAAGGTGTGTCCAGATTGGGACCAGTATTTTACAGGAGATGTGATGGGTGGGAGAGTGATGGTCTCTTACCTGCCTTGGTTGTTTCAGGGTTTTCCTGCTTCAGTTCAGCGCTGCCTTGCGGCGCAGTGGACTGCGATAGTGCCAGTTGCAGGGTGTTTGAAGTGAAGATGCCTTCGTGCAGCTCACTCTGCAAACTACGCACTTGCAGCTCCATGCTGAGGGCTTTCAGGTCTGGCAAGCTGATGTCCAACGTGGCAGCGAGACTCAGGGATGAGTTGACCAAACAGAAATCCCCCTGTTAGACACAATCATAGGATTAAAATCAATGGGAAATGCAGCGTGCAGCAAAGGGCCTCTCTCCTCTCTCAAAGCTGCTGAACATCTACCACCACGAGCACAAATCAGTGCTCACCCAACTGGTATATTTGGTTCAGTTCTGGATATCACGCTTTAGGAAAGATATCGACGTTTTGATGCACAGGTATTTTTTTAAGAACTGTCCCAGGATGAGGGGTTTCAGTAAATGTGCAGAAACCAGGACTGCTTAATTTACAGCACAGAAAGATAAAGAGATTTACTGGAGCTATTTGAGATGATGAATCGATAAGGTAGAACTGTTTCCAGAGGAACACTGATTGAAGCAGCAAAAGAACGGGGGGTGCAGCTGCAGCGGCAATGAGGGGAACTTTTTGTGTCCTGCAATATACTGCCTGAGGGGCATGGAAATGAAACGTTGAATATTTTCAACATTTTTTGCTTAGATTTCAGATTTCCATCATTTGAAGTGTTTTGTTTTAATTCACTGTGTAACATGGCTGCCTCAATGGCACTCAAGTCATAATATATTTGGGAAAGTCAGCCGAGGCTTGAGCCTCATTACACCCAGGGGCATCATAAAAGTTAAAAACTTAATCAAAATATTCAAAAGACCCAGTGTTCCGGTCCGACAGAAAACACTGATCAAATAACAAATAACTGCAATGTATTACAAAGAGATCAATTCTAACCACAGGAAATAAAAACACTGAATTATCAACGTACAACTACCAGCTAAACTCTACCCCGTTCCTAATCTCTTACATACACAATAAAACAGACACAGGCAAAGAAACAAACATGTTTTTGGATGGAAAGAAGAAATATTAGGGGAACACGGTTCAATAGCACCAGTCCATTGGATTCGCTTTTGTGTCTCTTTTGCTTCCAAGTCCTTCGAATCTCCAAGCTTCTCATGCTTTCAGCTCATTATCGCTAACACAGGGCATAGGTACCCTAATTGTCCAGTCTCTCAGTGACTGTTTTCAAACACCAGCTTATTGCAACTGAACTATCTTCCAGGTTTTGGTTATTTCATGATCATGAGAGCACCTTTCTCTGCTGTTGTCTGGAAACTTTTGTCTTTGTCTTGTGCACAAAACTCTGTTCACCTGCCCAGGAGCCAGAGAGTTGTCAGGCTGATGATTCCTGACCTCCATAGTTCATCCCGATTGCACAAACAAATCAGCAATCTGTCTCTGGACGAAGCTTGCTCTACACACACCCACAGTGCTATGGTATCTTAGACATCTTCCTCCACTGCTTGAACAAAGCAGCAGTGTAAACACAACTCACAAATGAGTTCCAGTAACTTGTTTTCAAAAGTGCAACAACTTCTTCCACAGTCATTGGTTTCAAACGGTATCTTTGTCCTACTGTGGTCCACAATCCAAAGTAAAGAAAAATAAAAAGATGTGACCTTTGCACTCACCATTCCATTGCTCTTCATTAGCTTGCTGTCCAGCTTACTCACATTGCCCTTACATTTGATTCTGGAAAACATACAGCCCTTTGTTAGATTCTTGTTCCATTCATAGCTTTTTGTTTCTTTTACGAACAAACAATTCCAATTTGACCTTCACTGGTGACCCTCTTTGGTCCCAGGTACAGTATAGGCAATTCACAGAGACCAGAACATTCCTACAGGTGAAACATACACACCCACAGACAGGCATGCAAGCATACACACACAGAGATACAACCCAAATGTACACATAGACACTCTCTCAGATTGAATGTACGTGTCATTGTCAGATAAGTAATGAACAGTGATCGAGCAGGAATGCTCAATTTGATATTGTCCCCACCCACATTCCAGGAACTAGAGGCTGCCTGTAAAATTCCATTTCATGTTTTGTAACACAGCACAGCCCAGGTACCGCACAGTGTGATAAACCCTATTATGCATGTGCTGGCAAGCTTGTTGCTGTTGCCAACCCACACTTGGAAACTGTTCCACACCATGACCCATTCTTGCATCTAAAAGGACTCACATGTTTCCACTGTAGCTGAGCAGCAAGGTGCAGTTTGTTAGAGACACGTGCCAGAGGGACTCTGTGATCCAGGCATTTAAAGCCATCACATTCACTGAGTAGATGTGGACCGAGAGCAGCTGCGAAGTCAAAAAGAGAGAGGGGTTGAGGTTTACATAGATCACACACAAACCTCTCACCCTTGCATGTTTTGCCAATCGTCCACATGCCCCCTCAGCAGCATTCTAACAAGGGAGGGGGTGGGTGTTTAAGTTTAATCAGTTATCATTTCTGGGATTGTTCAGTTGCCTCCAAACCTCAGGCAGAAAACCAAGCCCAGCAACAAATCCAAATCTCTCTGTGGAGAGCTCACCTGTGACAACATGCGCAGCACTGAAGGCTGGATGCTCAGTCTCCTTTTCATCGCCTTTTCACCGGGATTGGCCCGTTCCTGGGAGGCTGCTTTCAAATCGGCTCGAAATCGGACCTCTCCAAAACACAGGGCAAAGTAGTGACTGGAATGGAGAGATCATGGTTGGACTGTAACCGCAGGCCATCGAAGCCAGACCACACCCCCTCACCTTTTCCGTCTTTTTTGGTTTCCACATTGCACCCTCCCCACCTGGCCCCATCTCTCCTCTTTTAAACTGATACCTCCCACTTCATTTCACTCATGACCGTAACAACATTCAAGGCAATGGCCCTAGTGTGGGAAAGTGGGAGGAGTGTACATAACAGTATACTTTGGCAGTACAGACTTCACTGGCCAAAGGCCTCTTCTGTATTGTCCGATTCTATCACCCTGACCCAAGCCAGATTTTTTTGGTTGGTGGGGATGGTGGGGATGGTGGTGGAGGTGGGGTGGTGAGGGTTGTAGGGACAGTTTGGGGATATGGGGGGAGCACTGAAGGAAGCAGTTACAATGATTGAGAGGGGCATCAGTGAAATTACACAGCTTCTTTGCAATAAGTATTTAGCTGCAGCATACTCCTTTCTCCTCTTCTTTCCTATTTCCCTCAGGATTCTCCAAACACTGCTTGTTCCTCTCCCAGACACCCTCAGCAAATTCATTTATCCTTTTAAAATGCCATTTGATACTGACCTCGCTGGAAGTCGGCTGCTCTGTTTTTAGTAGTAAACACAGTGTCAGGTGTGTACCACACTATTTAACCCGATAAATAATTGAGTAAGAGTGGATTAAACAAGTGGGTGAACAAACACAGAGCTGTGTGTTTGTATGATGTAAAAGATAACAGAAGGAGTTGGTCAGACAGCCTCACGAACCTGAAACAGTACACGGAGCATCGAGATGTGTGGCTGTGTGTGCATGTTGTGGGGGAATTGTCTGCAGGAGGTTCGGTGCATAAGCGTATCTGAGTGGGAGACAGCATGCATACAACACTCACGGTAACTCATTGTTCAGCAGCTTACAGGAGAGCCAGACTCTGTCTACTTCCTGTAACAGAATTGCAGCTGGTTACTTGACAATAATCCATCAACTATTTAAAACAACAATTTGCATTTAAATAGCAGCTCCTGAGGCACTCCATACGAGGCTTATCAAACGATCTTCACACATTATGTGATATTAGAAGAGGTGCTGCTAGAGACACCGAGAGTGAGAACGAGAGACAGCGAGAGCAAAAGTGAGGGCGCGAGCGAGAGCGAGAGAGATGGAGAGGTTTAGGGAAGGAATGCTAGATTTCACGCCTGCTCAGCTGAAGATGGCCTCACCAATGGTTCCATTGATGAAATCAGAGATGAGTAAGAGGCCAGATTTTGGAAGATCTCCACATCTAATATCTACAAACACAGCAAAAGACAGTCCAAACACTCACCAGTGTCTTCTGTGATGAGATCTTGATACTGACATTGTAAATTGTGAGAAACCCAATGGAGCCAATTTTTAAATCCACATTTAGCTGATTGTGGATGAAATAGGTGACAATCCGAGACAGTAACCAGCTGAACAAGAGAAAGAGAATGACAGGTTAGAACATCAAATGATCAACAACATCAACTGATGTGTAACTCCAGGGCAAGTGGGATACTTAGCCAGTGTGCATCGGAACTGTGATAGTTCAGGTATCAAAAAAAGTCTGCAGCAAAACAGACTGTATAACACAGGAATACAGTACCGGTGGGGACAGGTCTGTCACTGCTTAACACTGGGGT